CCTTCCTTCCTTCCTTCCTTCCTTCCTTCCTCCCTCCCTCCCTCCCTCCCTCCCATAATCAATTACCAATTCTAATTTTTAGTAGGCTAAGTAAAACTACCAGAACTTGTGACTTTTATTCCATTTGGTTAGTATGTGCAAATATTTATTTATTTATTGCCTTTATTCTTAGGAAAGGCAGGATGTAACCAAACTATTTCTGTTCATCATGCCAATTCAGGAATTAGAAACTATAATTAGAATGAAATCATCTTCAAAAGACATAACGATCCATACCCCCAACTTCAAACGGTTTTTTTTTAAATAATCCTGACCTTGGACCATTCCCCAGTCTTCCACTCATAGCATCCTGTGTGATCTTCACACTCTTCCTCATCCCTTGGCCTTGTAGCTGCATCACACTTGCCTTGCGAGTTGGTACACATGACTTTTCTCTTCTGTTTTCCCCTTCCACAATCAGAAGAACACTGAAAAACAGAGCACTGTCACTTGCTGGAATTGCACTTTGAAATGTTTGAAGCAGTTTCCCTTTGAAAGCATTCCACTTTTCCAAATGGTTCTTACAATAAGCTTCACAGATTTGTTACAGGCAAAATTACACACAGAGTGATGTATAACATTATTTTTTTCAGGTTGTACTATATTTAAATTAGAACTAACAGATAAGAAGCATAAAAACATTACTGTCAATGCATTGTGTTTGGAGGGAGGTGAACTTTCCCCAGTGCAATTGTAATTCACATTTGCTCAACACACCAGGACTGATCCTAAATTTGTTGCACAGATACATGTTGTTGGAAGAAGAACTGAGATTACATATTTTTCAGATTAAACAGAACTTTAAATGGCTGATCTCAGTTACTATATGTCACAATTTATTATAAACCAAATTCAATTACGCTGAGGTATTAAAATATTTATCTAAAGGAAAAGGGCCCTTTTGCACATAGAGGCTACACTTTCCGTTTACACAGTACATTTAACAGGGCCAATTAAACAAATAGCAACTTGGTAAACTTTAACCTGGGTTTCGATTCTCGTGGCTTAGTGAGTCACACAATTATCGCTTGTTGGTTACTTTGGTTAGTTTATGGTTCAGTGTATTGTGCGAACTCAGAAAATGGGCGAATTCAATAACTAGATTAAGCACAGGGCGTGGATGCAGTCGCTGACTTATAATAATAATGGTTAAGTATAGAAATGATCCTCATAGATACACCTCAGCATTTCTCAGCCTTCCCCAATCTGACGTCCTCCATGTGTTGGATTCCCGTTGCTAGACCTGTGCAGTGCTCTGGATTTGGAGGAAGAAATGTGATTTGGAACACGCTTGTACATATATGGCAAACCTGTCAGACCTTCAACCAAATGTGCCTTTTCTTGAATTTGCACAGTAGCTGGACAAGTTAGATACGTGAGTCCCAGAAAGACACAGCTGCATATCTATGGTTCACACAACTTATATATACACAGAGTTTTTATTAAAAGATTTTATATATAATAATAAGTACATTCAAAGAAAAGAGAAGGTCATGTGAAAGAGAAAAGAGAGGGAAAAAGAGACAAAGAAAAAAGGAGATAGAAAAAAGAAAGAAAATAAAAGAACAGAAAACATGAAAAGAAATATAAAGAAAGGGTTTCCAATCTTCCTCTCAGCATATTATAATCAAACCTCTCTCTCTAAGATTACATCATCGTTGCCTTCTTTCTATAACCTATTCTTTCTAATCATCAAAAGCCTAAGTCACAAAATCATGTTCTTTTTTTACGCAAAAAGTCATAAGGGGTTTCCAGTCATTGTTCACACAACATATTAAGCCAAAACCAAGCCAACCACTTTGAGGCTTAGCATGTTGTATAAATCAAACCAGGATGTAATCAAATAGGGATCCATGGCCATCAGGACTGTGGTTGTGCCTATTCTGCATAACTACATAACTGGAACGTCTCTTTTCTTAACCATTCCTGAAGAATGGTCAAGGGATCACAGAGCTGAAAATGCTTGGTGAAATGGTAAAGAAATCCCTGATGCTCAATTGGTCACAGCACTAATCAAAACTCTGAACAACTTCTTTCTTACAAATCATGTTTCACCCTCACCCTTCCAGGGGTCAGTGAAGAACTGTCTGTGGATTTGACACTGAATGAATAGATGAAGATAGGAGATCTCCGTGAGCTCCTTTTGAATATGTTGCAAAAAGCATCTCCATTTAGGGGGGCCCAGGTTAGAAGCAAGCCTTAGCTTGTTGCTCATTACAATGAAGGGCAGATCTCAACATGCATATCTCAACATCTTTCTTAGGAAAAAAAAAAAACATAATCCAGGCAGACATGACCTGCCAACCCTGTTGAGGACATGAATGACAAGTGTTTATGAGCTAGTTATCAAGCAGACATGTTCTGAAATACTTCAGAGCAACTGGAAAGTCACTTTAAAATTATATACCTCCCTCTCCCTCCCTCCCTCCCATCCATCCATCCATCCATCATCCATCCATCCATCATCCATCCATCCATCCATCCATCCATCCATCCATCCACCCATCCATCCCTCTCTCTTTCTCTCTCCTTACCTCCTTACCTGCTTACCTACCTATCATCTATCTATCTATGGAAAGCCTTCTACCTAATTTACTACTGCTTATTCCATGATCTCTTTATGAAAAGTAACATCTTTATAGTGCAAAAGCAAAAGTAGAATTCTGGTTACTGGGAAGACTTCTTTAGGTTAATTGTCTTCAATTAGTTTTCTCCAGATGTGTTGGGAACGCAAATCCTACAACGCCCAGTCAGTAGCCACTATGTATACTTCACTGACCCACTGAACCTTATTTTATTTTTTTGGTGCTGCTGCTGCTGCTGCTATTATTATTACTGCTGCTGTTGTTATTTTTCTGCCCTTTTTCTAATCTAAGCAAATTGACTTTAGCAAATACTGTATTTAGCTGCACATCCCAGTTAACCATCCTTCCTTCCAACAGACTGGCAATACCTTAGACCATTCTGAAGCTTCCCAGATGGAAAGACAGTCTCGGCCTTCGCAGCTCTGTATCGTTGCTGGCTTGGGACCGAGGCAGTATAGATCTCTGGTGTTGACATAGGTGCCATTCTGCAGCTGATAGACACATGTCACTTCCCGATACTGGAGGCCTTTGGCACAAGTTGAAGAGCAAAGACTCCACTGTCCTGTAACCCACCTGTTCAAACAATCAAGAGGGAAAAAAATCAAGAAAGTCACCGTCCTTGTAATTAGAAGATGTCCCCCAGCCTTTGTGCTTTAACATAGGGTAGAAGGTGTGATGCTGGGTCCTACTCAACTGTATACAATTATACTGTGTCAAAATCGGCATATATCCCTTTTTTTTTTTTTTTGAGCTCTATTTTTGAAGCAGAATTAGGCACCATCAGTTGGGACCCTGCAATGCTTTAGGGAATGTATGGGTCTCCCGTTGCATCTGTTGACAACTCCTTAAACCAAACACATCTTTTCCCAGGGTTGTGCTGCAGCTGCTAAGGGCAGCTGTGTGATCCTGGAGAAATTACAGCTGGATTAATTGACATTATTGACTGGTGCTACCTGAGTGCTCCCACTCTGAGTGCCCTTTGAATCTGAAGGGCTGCACAGCTCTGTCATAAATACAGACAAATTTAATTCCAACATTTCCAAATTTAATCCTGGAATAATGAAATGAAATTCTCAGGTGTTACTGAAAACACTTGGTTGTTCCTGGAATGATTTAGATGGAGCCTATGGTTCTAGACCAGGGTTCCCCAAAGTGGTCAGTTACAACCCCCAAGGGTTGATGGTCCAAGGGGCCAGTAAATGGCTATGGGTCAAAAGGAGGCCAGTAAATGCCTGGGGGTCAATAGGTGGTTGATAAATGATTGAAGGTTGATTGGGACCAATTAATCTTTGGGGGCTCTGTAGAGCTCTACACTAGTTCCTAGTCCTGAAGGGGGGCTAGCAGTGAAACAGTGTTATGTAGGGTTAGATGGTCAGCCACCAGTAAGAGTGGCCTTGAGTTGTCTCTATTATTGTCGTTGTTGTTATTTGTAGTACTATTAGTTAAAGTAGTATTTATTAAATTATTTTCATATAATAAATGCTTGGGGGTCGATGAACAATCTGAAATCTTACGAAGGGGTTGATGAGCTGAAGAGTTTGGGGGCCTCTGTTCTAGACTCTCTTCAGCTTTTCATCGATCTGCCCCTCCAGTTATCCCAGATACTACTCACTACTCTCTTGGCAGACCTAAGCTATAAAGGTAGAACATCTCAAAAGCAAGCCTTAGCTAGAGGTTATGATAAAAAGGAATGCATTTGATAAATGTGTTTTGGCATCCATTAAAGTACTTAGGATGATCTGTTATGAAGGCAGCTTTCATCTCTAATTAGAAAAGCTTCATGTCAAAAGAAGAAGGTTAGAGCAACAGAACTATGGGAGCATGAACTAAGCACGAAGACCATCCCCCTTTCAGGAAGTTAGAATTCTAGTCTAGCTTTTAGGCCTGTCAACCTGATCAGCAATCCCACCACCACCTCCATTGCCAAGCAAACCCATCTTCGTCTTTGGCCTGATACTAAGCACCAAGTAGTGAAGGAACTAAGATATAAGGCGCAGCTTGAATGGCTAAAGACCACAGCAAGCCAGCCATCTTAATTAAAAGAAAATCAAACACAGGAGCAAAAATTAAGGCTTTGGTTAACCATTATTGGCTGAAAACTCAAATCAGATGGGTGGTGGCATAACACTATGGGTGGGATGAGGAGAGAACGGCACTGCTAATTTATTGTCACGCCTCAAGAACAAGAAAGGCTGCTGTCCAGACTTGGCCTGACGGTGGTATTTAGCTGAATGTGATCTATAGCTGCAGGCAAGAAACGGAGAGAAAAAATAGATTGTGACTTTGACGGAAGGGAAAAGAAAGGCAGCAGAAAAAAGGCAGACTCCCACACTTTTTTCCAGTTCAACTGTTTGTAAGAAAAGACAGGAAGATGGGCATGAGAAATACCAGGAATTCTGTTTGAAGATAAAAGGAAAAATGCAGCAGAGATCCCAGCTGTCACGGACTCACTGCAAAGCTGCCACAGCAGCAGTAAGTGGGGTGGAACTGTTCTTGGAGCTTAAAGGTCCTAAGGCCAAATTTACACTGGACGATCTCCTGGAGCATTGCTTTTTAGAAGGGAATTTTAAGTTAATAAAACTGATTTTTAAAAGGGCTGGAGAAAAGAGAAGCGGGCAAGCAGCTGCTTTACAAGAGCCAGCTGTTGGAATTGCTCATGAACATACAAAACACAATTCTCGGTTGTTTCTGACTGTTCAGCTTGCAGCATGGAAACCTTTCAGCCAATTCCTAAAGCACTATAGGTATCTGTGTGTGTGTGTGTGTATATATATATGTGTATATATATATATATATATATAT